ATCGGTGACCGATCGATCGGCACACCTCTATTATAAATATATTCTTGCATCCTAGAAGAAGGAAATATATGCAAGTGTATTTAAAAAAATTAAATAAGGATAAGAAAGGAGTTTTTTTTTGTTTTTTTTTAAATCTGGAGGTGTTTGGTTAGTTTTTCATGAAGTATTTTTAGTGATACTTCTTTTACCTTTTCAATTGTGCTGAAACAGTTGCTTTCTGCTATTTCTTTAAAAGCCAGAAGTGTTGTTAGCCAGTATCCTGAGTGCCTTTGCTGCAACATGTTTTCAGCTCCTGTAGTTGCATACCATTACATTCTCACTCCTTGTTCAGCTGTTTGGTGTGCTACTCCAGGATTCCCACTGCTCTTGGAACCGTTCCAGACAAAACCATCTTCCATTTTAATTAAACCGTACCTTTACCCTCTAAAATATAGTTTTTGCAAGACGAGATCTTTTTTTTTCTTCTCTCGAAAAGGGCTTGCTGTTGCCTTTGTACTGTAATGAACTCTATTATGACTGAATCCCTATTCCACAATAACAAACTGCTGGTACATTCCTGCTCTTTAGTTGGGTTTTGAAGAGTTTTAGGCACACTGAGAGAGAGAAATGCAGCACTAAACAGTTGTTACAGTTTTTGTTTGATCGTCATTTGGCCAGTTTCAACAGATGATTTAAAATCTCTTTGGCGTTCAGCCAAGGATTTAATAACGAAGTTAGAGAAACTTATTGTTGACATTTTGCTACTTCCACATCTCCTGTAAATGGTCTTAAAGAAAAGTGTTATCCTCATGTATTCCACTGTGGCTCAGAGCTTTTTCCACAACCTCAGTGAAATAATTTGTCTCATTTTGTTTAAATATTTTAGCTACAAATCAGCAGCAGAACCTGTATGTCTGGTTGGGCTTAATCTGTAGAAGAAATGAATTCTCCACGTCTGAAGTTCGAAGAGGAGTTTGGAACATGCGGCAGTCTGAAAAATAGTGATTACCATCCAGTTGTTAATGACTAATTATGAAACATTACAAAAACAGCATAATTAATAAAGTGCCTTTGCCTGCTTCAGTCTGTTTCCATAGAAACACCAGTAGCCTCAGTTGAAACAGTTTTTAATTATTTCAAATTCACTATTTTTGCTCATTCGCTTTTGTTTGTATTTGCTTGTTGTGCACAGGAGACATTGTGTGCATGTATTTAATATTTGATGAATATTAAATATGAAAAATCTTTTGATGGAGTTCAGTGTATGGGCTTGTACCATTTAAGTTATATTACACAGAAATGTCCCCATATATGTCAGGTATGTTCAGAGTCAGTACTGAAATGTGAGCAATGCTAATTATTAGTAAGGGAGTTGACTGTGGTGTCTGTGCTCCCCCAGCTGCCGGTGATCTCAGTGGTGAGGGAAACTGAAGCACTGCTGCTGCCAGACGTTGGAGCCATCGTCACCTGCAAGGTCTGTTATGGACAAGCTCATTTATTTAAGTAGTTCATGTGAAAGAGACATATTGTAAACAGAACTATACGTTTCAATCCGTTATTTAAAAGATTTTTTTTTCTTTAAAGCTTTTTCTTCCACTCAACCTTCCATTGTTATCCTTGGACACAGAAAGCTTATTAATGTTGTGAATAATTTTTAGAAATATTTGAAACATACTAAAGCACTTGCGGCTGATTTACAGCAGGTGCATCTTTAAAAAAAAAAAAAAAAAAAAAGCAGAATTTCATCTCTATATTGATCTATTCAATGGTTAACCTCTGCACAGGAATGCAGTGGCTATTCCTGTCAGCATCACTTTTTCCTTCCACTCAACTTTTCATGAACATGCTTAGAAACCAGTGCCTTATCCTCGTTGTGGAGGGGGTCAGTGACCGTCTGCTGGACGTCCATTACATCTGCAGTTTTTTTTAATTTATGACAAAAAACATGATCATAATTACATTTCTTTATTACAACCTATTTTTATTGGTTTTATGCAATATTTTCATTTTTTTGGGAGGAACTTAATTTAATTAAACTTATAAGATGAGATTGACGTTCAATTGATTTACAGAAATGGATTAATCAACAGTGATGGATAATGTAGAGCACAGTAAACCTGTTTACTTTTGGACCACATGAAGAACTTTGACATGTAGGAGAACTTTATCTTTTCTTGTCCAAACACAAAAACAAAACACAAAAAAAGTATTTTACGACTTTACCAATAGTTCAGTGGTTCTTAACCTTTTTTGAGGTTCCGAACCCCCCAGGTTCATATGCCCATGCCCCGCACCCCCCCCCCCCTCGACACAGAAAATAATTTGCGGTATTCTGATTTATTAATGTAATTATATTAGTTGTATTACCTCCCCCACGCCACTAGAGGCAGTACCAACCCCCAAAAGATGTGACTAAGGAGCAGATTTAGACTATAGAATTTGGTAAAAACTGTGAGCTTTACTGAAGTAATTAAAGACACAAGTTCAAATCCATGCTGAGAGTGGAGCTCCTTCCCGCAGCACTGATTGGCTCAGCAATGTAACGTGATCCTCTGGAGCAAGTGATGCAAAGTGGGGCGTCATCACGACTTTACACAGGTGTCTTTACCTCCGCGGCAGAGGCTCCGCCGAACCCCTGAGACCGACTCACCGAACCCCTGAGGTTCGATCAAACCCAGGTTAAGAACCACTGCAATAGTTGTTGTGCAATCTTACATCTATTTTATGCTTCAATTTAAAAGGTGACTGGCATCAACTCCAGGTTTGCGAAGGTCCATATCCTCTATGTGGGGTCCACTCCACTGAAAGACCGCTTCAGAGGGACCATCAGGTAAAACAGGAAGAGCCTCCTGCTTGATTTACTGCCTTTTCTGAGGAACTGTCTCATTCTCTCTCTCTGCGTCAACAGAAAGGAAGACGTGCGAGAGTCGGAGAAAGACAAGGTGCGCGACGATTGACGCTTTCACTCAGATGATCTCCCACGCTTCCCCTTCTCCTCATGTGTGAATTATACCGAGTGTAAACTTTCCCCTCTTCTTCGTGTAGGTGGACATATACAAAAGCTTCAGACCTGGTGACATTGTCCTGGCAAAAGTCGTATCCTTTACTTATGACTAACACGGTTATGTGACAGGTAAATTACTGTTCGAGTGCAGAAACTATGCAGCTCATACCTCAGATTCCTCCTTTGTAACTCATTGACATCCCTAGACTGCATGCGACTGCTTCCCACAAATTAAAAGCCACAGCTGACCCAGGTGATTAACTGTTTTCTTAAGAGCATGTGACGAGTGTCACAGTCCACTCATTAATGCACAGGTGCAATAAACCTGAATAGATTTAAAAAGGCAATTGTAGCAAATAACCTAGTACATTAGATGGGTTCATTGCACATAGATGTATAATTCAGGTGAATTCAGTTTCTCACATGATCCTACAGTCTGGAGGAAAACTGCTGTCCAGAAGACGGTAAATGACAACAGCAACAAAAAGTCATTGCTAAAGAAGCGAGTTGTTCAGAACGCTGAATTCAAGCATTTTGACGGAAAGTTTTGTGGAAGGAAAAAGTGCTCCTATATGCCCGTCAGAGGTGCAGTTATGACATAACTACCATTGTTACCCATTAACTCCATATTATTTTACCAGTTCGCTATCATGTGTTAACTACTCTTTTTACATTTTCATTTCAACATTTCTTTTCTTATGTGAATTTTAAGTATTTACAATTATTCTGCTTTTGTTTTCTCTGTTCCTTTATTTTCTCGTCAAGCACTTTGACTTTACGTATAAATGGTACTACACAGGTGAACCTGTGAAGAGTTAAATCCTTCACCTGCAATGTCAGATTTCGCTCGGGGACGTTCAGTCTACCTACCTGTTAACAACAGCTGAGAACGAGCTGGGCGTGGTGGTGGCTCACAGCGAAGCAGGTAAACCTCACCGCTCGGCTGCAGCTCTCCAACCGGATCCATATTTTACAGATTATAAACACAAGGTGGCGCAAGTAAAGGCGAGATGTTTACTTTTACGTAGCTGCTAAGTACGGTTTTGAATTTTGACTTGATTGTGCAAGAATCTTGGTGTTTTCTGTTTGCAGTTACTGTCAGCCACGTCAGACTCCATTCTTGTTTGTTGAGCATGTCACTGATGCATTTTAAAAATATTTTCCTACATACCAGGTGCCCAGATGATTCCCATCAGCTGGCGTGAGATGCAGTGCCCGCAGACCAACGCCAAGGAGTTTCGTAAAGTGGCCCGAGTTCAGCCCGAGTATCTGGAAGCCTGAGAGACCCTGAAAGTCTGTCGCAGCACCAACAAGCGACTCCTTTCGTCAAGCGGCCTCCCAACTCTTTCCCTGGGTGACATGTGGTTCCTGGGCTACTTCTCATATCGGCTCATTAAGTGTCTTAACGGCTTTACTTCTGCACGTTTTTCATTGTGCTGGATTGAACCCAGAGAGCTCAGTTTATCTTTATCAAAGGTCGGTTTGGCGGTTGCCAAGATTTTACAAAATCAAAAAAAAAAAAGGGTCATTTTTGCACCAAGAGAGAAGTTTCTGTTCCAAACGCAGGATCAGGGTTGTATCGATGCGTATTATGGCAGCATCAGCCAGAACCGTCTTTGCCACCGTTTTGCTGGAAGATGAAACTGTGTTACTGATAAAATCCAAATTTCAGAGCCTCTTCTGCAGAGGCCAGGTCTAGACTCTTATTGTAATTAAATTAATTATCAGCCCTGTCTGTTTTAACCCAGGGTGGATTTATATTTTGGATTTCTGGCCCTTGTGAGTTTGGAATATTTTAAACTGTCATACAAAAAATTTATAATAACATAAAGCTAGTCATTGCTGAACATCTAGCAAAGTTTTCTGCCAAATAAGTTTTAAAAAAAAAAAGTTTTATTCCAAACCAACAACGTACCGGGGATTTCTAAAGTCATCTCACCGCTTTGAACAGTTTCAAATCTTCACTTACCACAATATGTAAAGCATTTAATTAGGAATTTATGAGATCGACAAAAAGTCTTGCAGTAAAGAGAAATGGAAAGAAAATGATGCATGCTTACAAATAAAACATCTGAAATGTGTGGCGTACATTTGGATTCAGCACCCTTCACTTTGATACGACCTCCGCCTAAAAATACAGAGCAACAAGTCGCCTTCAAACGTCCCCTGACAGGTAAATGGAGGTCGTCTGTGTGAGATTTAATGTCGGTGTGAATCCAAAGGAAGGCAGATTCAAAAGCGCGCCGCACCTTTCAGATGTTTTATTTGAAAACGTTTTGAAACCCATGCATCGTTTTTATTTCACTTTAAGATTAAGCACCACTTTGTGTTGGTTTATCATATTAAAAGCCAGTAAAAATCCACTGAAACTCGTAGTTGCAATGCGAGAAGATGCGAAAGCTCGCTGTACCTGAAACCATTTTTGCACAATTTTCTTTAAATCAGCGGGTCTCAAACCGCGTTCCTCGAGGGCCGGTGTCCTCCACGCTTGAACTAAACGGCTCAATCGCCTCGCTAACATGCAGTGAAGCTCTACAGATTAGCGGACGATCTAATATTGGAGTCAGGCGTGCTGAAGCAGAGAGACGTGTACAAGTCGCAGGACACCGGCCATTGAGGACCGGAGTTTGAGCCCGCTGCTTCATGGGGAAAGGTCAGGTTTTATTTGGGGTCAAATGGAGTAATTCTCTGTTAAGAACTGTTCCATTAAAAGTGAAATTTCTGCCACCTGGAATAAGTCAGGCTTCAAATGTGAGTGCTGTGTTCTGAATTTCTACGCTGCATCGTTTGGTCGACCGTAACATTGTAACACAGAACGTGTCGACATGGACTGCGGTCTGTGCTCCAACCATACACTAATGGTTTCAACATGGACGGTAATAAAAAAACAAAGACAAGGTAAATTTAAAGGGCGCCTCTTTAACCTCGGTGAGGTTCTGCCGAGCGCCTTCTTTTACACACGCTCTCATTTTATACTGCTTTTATATGCGTATATACGAGATGTATATAAGCGTATCAAAGGGGAATCAGGTGGTCAGTCCTGCTCAGGGACGCTTCGGCACCCTGTTCCCCAACCTTCTAATTGGAAGAAGATTACCCTGCTGTGGGTAATGGATGCAATGTGTTAAAGCAACACGCTCACTTGAAGCATTCTGCTTCAGTAGACTTGCAAGGTGGAAAGTTTCTCCTGAATGGGCCTTTTCTGAGTATTTACACGTCTTTCCTGACTGCTGTCTATTGTTCCAATACTCCATTAAACCCCATCAAAAAATACTGAAACCCCTCATTAATTAATTTACAAAATTAAATGAAAACAAATTCGTCTTAAAACCTTAAAGTGGTTGGAACTTGGATTTTTATAACACAGGTTTTCTGTATAAAGACATGAATTAGCAGTAGGCATCTTTCCTGCAGATTGTGCAGATTCTGTGGCTGATCTGTCGATAGGAATTTACAGAAAGATGATCCATGTCGTATAGCCTGTATTTTTTGTATCCTTGCAAGACTTTCTGTATTTTTAAAGTGGAACTGGAAAGCCTAAAGCAAAGTGACTTTAACAAGGCTGCTATGCTTGGAACACAATGAAACACAATGTATGATTCCAGCACAATGTTCCCGCTGAATGTCTGTGAGCCATCACTAACAAACTTGATTTTCTGCTTTTCTTAAAGTGATCTTTTTCTTTTATTATTCTGTCCCTGACTGCTAATGTGCAGGATTGAAATTAAATGACTATCAGAGCATTTGCCTGTGACTTTTTTTATTGAATGTCGGCTGCTAGTCAAGTTGCTGCTCAGCCCAGTGTGTCCAGACATTCACATCTGTTTGAAAGGCTTCCAAACCATTCCAGTTTTTAACCTTTAAAAAAATAAATAAAAGCCAATTTGTGTATAACACATTGTCAGATGGAAAAAAAAAGTAAAAATTGAAAGATTTTTTTTGAGAATTTATTAAAATCATGTCTTCAGAGAAATTTACAAAACCATAGCACAACATACGATTAAGCAAATTTCTCATTCACAAAATGCCATTATATAAAACACTGAGTTATAAACTACATCCTCCAGTTGAATAAATACTCGAAGTACAAAAACGCCGACCTCCGTAGTTAGTCATCAAAGCGGACGGATCGAGACGCATTGATGTCGATGGAGAACTTCTTGTTGGAGGGCGCCGTAAACCCAAGTCCCGCCCCTCTGTTGCTGAAGTCCATTTTCCGTGCGTGTGCTCGCTCAAACTGTCCCAGAAGCCCTTGCTGCAGCTGCTGTTGCGCGTCCTTCCCCAGCGCCATGTTGGCTCCTCCAGCCGCGGCCCCGGCTGGCTGGAAGCCCTTCTTGAAGCCGCCCATCAGCCGCAGGAACTTCTGCTGCTGTTGGGAGCTGTCGAACTGAGCGGTACTCCACTGACCCAAAACCTTCCAAAGACATTAGGAAGAACATTTAGGTTCTGGAGCTGGTATTGACATCTGAATATCTATATTAGGAAGCTGCGGCATCAAAGGAGTGAACAAAGCCTCGGCTGGGCTTCCATGACAGCTCATCAGTGCTCTAATCTGTCAAAGTTTTAGGCATTAGCACACTTATGCTAATGCGCTAATTGGGGAGCTATTGTTTTGCTTAGTGCATTAGTTTACTTTGAAAACCTTTCACGCACTTAGCTTCCTATAAACTGCAGTTTTCCAGATAAATTCTGGCCGTTTCGTACACTTTCACATGAATTAAGTTCAACATCTGTTGATGCTTTGGTTATCCACTGCTAAAAACTCTTCAAGTAGTTAGACCTTTATATTCATGCTCTTATTTTGAACAGCAGTTCTGCTTCCCATCATGTTTTCTTTTTCTTTTTTTAATCATGCATCGCTGTTAAAGTGGATGTTTGTGCGTCAAAATTACAGTTGTACCAGAAATGCGAATACAAAAGGTTCTGGTTACAGTTTTCAACGCTTTCAAGTCTATCAAATAAATAAATGGAAATGAACGCATTAAAGTCCTGGCCCTGGTTGCAATATGGTTTGTCACTGACATATTCAACATGGTTGAACTTCGCACATTAGCATTAGCTTCTGTTAAACACCATGTTGGTATGGCCCTTTAAGGTTAGTGTAACTTTTTAGTTAGCAGTGCCCACAACTAGGACTAGTTATAAAGATGAAAGCATTTATAGGGCAGGCTTACTGTAGATGAGCTAACATGAAAAAATAAAGAAAATATCCACTAATAATATAGCTATGAAGCTCTGCATTACTATAACCCATTCATGCTGGTAAAATGTAGAGATGCAATAATCTGGTCTTTACTGGTTCAATGTCCTAAAAACAACAGAAAAAACAAGTAAAAACTCAAAATAAACATCTGATTCGCCCCCAAAAAAGCCAGAGCATCACCTTGGCTTTATCATAACTACCTGGAGACAACTTCATGAAGTGGAAGCATTTAAAGTTTTAAATCAACGATCAAAGGAATTCAAGAGAAATCCTGATACTGACTGCAGGTTTATCAGGTTGGGAAGCCTCCTCGATCTCCATTTGAAGAGCTTTTCTTCTCTCCTGTGACCAAAACATCGTATAAGACATCAAAATATGGAGTGCATGTGTGCTATAAAGTTAAAATCCATGTCAAGAAATTGTAATTCCTAAACTAAACATTCTTCAAATAACACTTATTTGCTAATAAGTAATTAGATGGGGCCATTGATCCACGATATGTCAACGATATGATGTGTAATATATAAAAATTATAATTTTTACAGCTCCTCTTTGGCCCAAACCAGTCTTTACAAGTAAACAGTCTGGTTCACAGAGCTTGAAGAGAAATTATTCCTCCAGCTGAAAAGGTGAGACAGATAGAGGGTCACTAAGAATCCTCCTTTTTCTTTTTCTTTTAACAAATACAAAGTTTTGCAAACCATGAATTGGGTTTGAATGAGTTTGGAATCGGTGAAAAACAATTCGGTCCAGGTTGAATCAGTCTCAATCAAAGTTGATCCTGATCCCAAGAAAAACGTTTAAAATGCTCTCTGTTGCAGGTTTTTTTTTTCTTTTTTTTTTTTTTTTAAGAAAATGAAGGGTCTCATTCATGAACACAATCCCACAGTGGAAGTGATGCAGAGATGTTTTCACCTGATTAATGGCGACCTCATCGCTGTTTCCGGGCTTTGCCGACAGGAAAACGACATCGCCTTTGGGAAAGTCCTGAAACACAAACCCAGGCTGGTCACTGACCACTCCAGTAAGTTAAAAAACAACAGCTGAACACTTAATTTTTGGCTCACCTGTGAGTCTTCCTGCTCCTCTTTGTTTTTTTTCTTCTTTTTCCCCGTAGCCTTGGCCTCGGTGTTCACGTCCTGACCGTCTTTAGCTGAGTTTTTCTTCTTTTTGCTCTTCTTGCTCTGCGGCTCAGCAGCCAGAGCGATGCCGTCCTCCACACCCTCCTCCTCCTTCACTCTTTTCCTTTTCTTCTTCTGTGGCTCCATCTCCTCTGCTTCTACGTTCCCATCTTCCTCTTTGGCTTTTTTACTCTTGTTTTTCTTTTTACTCTTTACCTCGCTTACATCTTCCTCTACAGAAATCTCTTTGTTTTTTAACTTGTTTTTTTTCTTTGGGAGAATTTCCTCGTCCTCTGTCGACTTTTTCCTCTTTGCTTTGATTTCGTTTCCCTCAGATTTACTCTCCTTCTCTTTCTTACTTTTTAATTTCACCTTGCTGACCTCTGTCTCTTCTTTTTCCACTTTTATCCCATTTTCCAACAGTTTTGCTTTCTTTTTTGCTTTTGTTTCACCAACTCCATTAGTAATTACAGGAGTTTTCTTTTTCTTTTCTACAACTAACTCTTTAGTCTCAGCTGTCCTCGAAGCTAAATCTTTGCCTTTTCCCTTCTTGGGTTTCTTGCGATTATTACTTCTGATTGGCATTTCCTCATCTTTTTCTACCTTCATATTTTCAGGTTTGATTTGTACACATTTTTCCTTGAGTTTCTCCTCTTTCCTTTTCTTCTTCTCCAATTTTCCAGCCTTCAAGGTAAAGTTTTCTGTTTGAATTACACCGTCTCCTGCTGGCTTCTTCTTCCTCTTATCACCGTCATCCGTTTCAATAGTTGAAGAAACATCATCATGTTTCTTCCTTTTCGCTTTTTTCTTGTCTTTCTTCTGATCGGCTTTTTCTTCCTTTTCTTTTGCCACGGTTTCTACTTTTTTCCTTTTCTTTTTAATCTTGGCTTGGCTCCCGTTCTCAGCTGCGCAGATTTGGATTTCTGGTGAACATATTTGTCCTCTCTTCTGTTTTTTCTCCTTCTTTATTATTTTTGCCTCGCCATTCTCCCCCTCCATCTTTGCTTGAGCACTGATCGTGTGGCTTGTCTGGTTTAAACAAGATCATGAAAAAGAAAAAGAAATATTAATACCGTTACTTTGGGTGGGGGGGGGGAACAATTAGATTAATAATAAAAACACATTTTGTACATGCCGGAGGAGTCGACACTGACCAGAGGTTTGGCTGGCTGTGTGGGCTGAGACTGCTCATCAATGTCCCTCTGCAGAGCCAGTAGCTTCTCCTGCAGCAGAGCCAAGCAACAAATCTGCCTTAACGTCCACTATGAGTGCAGAACACGAACGGCATCAAAAACAACTACCGCGTCATCGTCGTTTACAGGCTGTGGAAAGCTGAGCCTGGAGCTGCGTTTACTCCATCAAGTCACAGTGTAACGGACTACAGAGGCGTTCAAGAGACACTGAAAATGAGAACGTCTGAAAGATCTCGTTTCTATGCTTTTAGGTTCGCTGAGAGGGTTTTGATTTCATGCGTTCACTGATTGAAAAAAGAAACACTTGTGTCTCATCTTATGGTTTTTTTTTTTTTGCATTTCTTGCGTTTTGTCTCATCGCAACCACAAAGCGCAATGTATTTTATTGGCATTTTAAGAGACACACCAACACAAAATACGGTGTTATATTTATTTATTTTTTGTAAATAAATATCTGAAAAGTGTGGCGTGCGCTTGCTAAATCTGCTCTGCTCGTCTGATCCAGATTTCTCGTGTCTCCTGGGCCGAACTGTCCTAGACTAAATCACGATTTTCCCAGAGCGCAGTTTGTAAACACCCTGAAATTATTAGTGAAGGCGTCATGTGTAGCAACCTGGGTTTAAAACCACAAATAGATCCACTTTAAAAAGGTTGAGTTGACAAAAAGCAAGTTAGTCTTTTTAAAAAATTCAAACCAAAAAGTGCAGCTTGCTTTTCTCACTCTGAGTCTTTATATTCTTGTTTTCTGAGGCTGTTTATTCATAAATAAATGCATTCTTCAATTGTGTTTTTTTTATGTGTTTACATATAAAAAACAGAATTAGGAAAAATAGAATCAACATCATTTAAGAGAGTAAATGCTGCATAAGCAAAATTAACGGATTTCTTGCAGCCCTGCGAAAGGACAACAGTCTGGAAACTCAATCGATGTTTTATTCTTTGTCCACACTGATCCAGTTAGGAACCCTGCTAATTAGACTCCTGAAAGCGAATAATTGGATTCTATACTTCTTAAGGATTTTACATTGAAAATAGTTTATTTTCACAATTTTATGTTTTAATGCTTTAATATATTTAGAGACAGAAGACCAACTTTGATCTAGAGAAAGCTGAATGTGACATGAGTGGTAATTAATCTGATTAAGATATGAATCAACCTCAGAAGGTGTCTTAAAGTATAGAGGAAAAAATAAGAAGTTTTATTGTAAAAAGCCTCTTATTGTGTTAATGTAAAACCCACTTGGAGGAAATGTGGGATGGATGTTAAACCGGCAACTTATATGATGAGTTAGACATTTTACCAGCCAGGCTAAGAGACAAAGAATAGAAGAAACACAAATATTTGTAATTACCAACAGTCTGACTGTGACCGTCTAAATGTCGACTATGACTATCAGATTTTTGACTTACAGATTATTTTTAAAAAGTGATAATCGTGGGAAAACTAAGTCAAAGCTACGTCATATTACCTATAAGTGTTCTGATGTGCGATAAATACACATTATAAAGACGGTTAGTTGTTAAAATAAATCATTACCAGGTTGACTGAAATCTCTACGGGTTTAGGTCCAGACTTTTCAGAAACAAACACCACGTCCTCATTGGAATCCGTCTGAAATGTGAACAAAAGTTGGTGTTTTCAGACCTTGAAAGCGGAATAACGTTTACATTCGACTCACAATCTTAATCCAGAGTTGAAAAATCGACAAACGGGATAAAATGACCATAAGAGTAAAACTGACAAAATGAACATACTAAACTATTCTTTCATTCATAGCTGTTGCTAGCATTGCTTGCTGGCTAGCTGCAGCCTTGTTGAAATTAGCCACAAAGAATAAGAGAATTAAAAAAAAACGCAGGGAGCTATTAGAAATTCAGACCTGACAACAGTTCAAACGTGTTTATAAAACTGTAGTTAGTGAGCTGCTTATTTACTTACTTTGTACACTTTGATAATTCACGTGGAGACACATTGACGCTCCAAGCGGAAGTAGCGTTTGCTCGTTCCTGTTAGCGACAACACAGGCGTCCCTAGCAACGTGAGCGCGCATGAAATACGGTCGGCGTTTTCTTTTCCGATAACATTTTGGATAGATGTTGACACTGGATTTTATTCGAAATGCAGTGCTGCTGAAACATCACAAGATGGCAAAAAAAAAATTTTGTATACTTTTGGTTTCCTCGTGCGGCGCAAAAGAGCACTGAGTAGAGAAACCGAAGTCAAATTGTTAGCTTCACAAATTTCTGATTTCAACACAGGTGTTCTGTCTAGTTTTGTTGCCCCGCCCAGAAGGATCATGTTTTCCCGAAAAAACTCTCCCCCGACGTCCTGTGCTCGAACCAGACAGTTCCTACAGGTAAGCTACTTAAAAACAAATAGTATATGGAGAAAGCGTTCAATATTTCTTAACACGAATTTCATAAAGTTGAACCTCGTGTAATATAGTTCAAATGCACATACAATGAAATACTTAAAGTCTTGTTTCTTGTAATTTTAATGATTATTACTTACAGAAAATGATGTTCTTTTGTGGAATACATGTTTGGGTCAATCAGACTGAAAAAAAAAACTAAATATAATGGTGCTCAGGGCGCTTTACAGGGACCAGCTGCAGTCCAATTTTTAAACTGCAGCCCTGAGCAGCCCCTGCAGTTACACAGCAATGACTCACTCAGTATTGAATGGTTAATTTGAAAACACTCCCACAGGCAGCAAGACATTTTTTTGACTATTTTGTGAGATTTGAAGTGTTATGTCATGTGGCTCAATATTCACAGACCCGTCATTGTGCTTTCAGTTGATTTTGAAGTTGGCTAAACAGTAGCTAGTGAGCCTGCAGCTTTTTTTCTGACTGTTGAAAATCAACTTAGTTTCACAAAAATATTTCAATTACTTTGAAACATTTATATTAGCGATACAGTTAGGATTTCTGTTTAGTCATTTTCAGAGCGCAAACTGTCAAATAATTTTTTTTAATTTCTTATGGCAGCCCCTTTTCTGAGGTTTTCTGTATTTGTGGAAATCAAATCAGTGCTGTATTGTCGACACCTGATATTAAAAGCAACAGATCCTTAAGGAGAAGAAAGTGAAACCAGACAGTAAACCATGCAAAGGATGTAATAGCCACTTAGTGCAAGTCACGTTACAAACATTCATTTTAACGCTGCCAGAAAACAGTGACAGTATTGTTCTTATAAACCCATCTGAAAAAGCATTCTTTCTTTACAGTAAAAGTTAAAAAGCAGGTTAGACAAGAGTTTTACATATTGATCCCATTATTTTCATTGTACAATGTACAAGCACTCACCTGCACACAAAAACAAAGCCATTGACAAGTTTACTTATTTTTGATTGGAGTTACAGCAAAAAGGACTGGTCACAGTCGCATACACAATGCATTAACTGGACGTACCGTCCCAGCTTGAATTCACTGTTGCTCTGGAGACGAAGCTAAAAAACCTTTACTCATACGTACACAAAATGTTGTTCTGAAGTACCGGTTTGAAAAGCTGTTTCGAACTAGAGCTTTCAAAGCAATAAGACTGTAATAGAAGCAACATACATACGATATATAAATATATATATATTTTTTGGAAATTCACAGTTTTGGATGAATAAACATTATCTTTGTATTTCCCAGCAGTTAAAATAAAGAATAAACATATGTTGAATTGTTTATTGAACCTTTCCAGTTATCTGCACTGACACATGAAGATAAGAGACACCACAGCCAACAATGCAAAAGAGCGAAGTGACTCCATTAAAGCAAGCAGGACTTCCTTCACTGCAGGTCAGTCTCCTCATGTTGTACTGACGCACTGATTCACGTCAAGTACCAAGAGGACAAACTGTCCAGCGGCTTTCAGTAGGTTATATGTTTTTATATTAAAATGCTTCTTTTACTGCTCTTATGCAATATTCCGATTTTTGAAACTGGATTTTTTGGGGGGTTTTCATTCGCTGTAAGCCATAAAGTTTCTAATCACCAAAAAACATACAGTGAAAGCATGTGGCATGTCATTTTCAGTGTTGTACTGGAGCAGCTGCTGCAAATAATTTCTTGATAATATAAACATTTCATCGAGATCCATCTATTAATAAGATTAGCGTGTAAGAGTCCTCCAGTTTGACTGGTGTAACTTGTGATAACAGCAAAATAAAGAAGCATGGATACATGCATGACTACCAGGGACAACACAGTGGAGTATTTGGGGTTGTTCTAAGCGTTTAATATTAAACGGAGGAAATGTAACCACTTCTTTTTTTTTTTAGTAAAATTGCAGACCACAAATCCCCCAAATATGCCAATTAAAAAAAAAGTCTAGCATGCTCTTTAGGTTTGTTTTATCATTTGCTTATGAGATACTCTGGAGTTATGAGAAAATGTGCAGTTGGTGTCATTTTCCTTAGTAAGGCAGCATCCAGTTTGTGTTGGTTTTAAATAGACATGACTGATTTGATTAATTCTTTATCTATGATGATAAATTGACTATAAAACCACTGTAACAAGTAACTCCCTTTGCTATATATTTATATATATATGTATATATTTACAGTACATATAAATGTTTGTATAAATAAAAAATACTTAAAAAAACATCAAAAAACATTTAGATAAAATACTGTTCCCCCAGATTGTGCTTTCACATGCAACTCAAACAATCTTTAATCTCACAACTTCACCATGATCTCTGTACTGATGACTGACTGTGCAGGTTAGGTATTGCAGTTATCAAATGGCTTTTATTATACGCTTCCTTAAAGCATAACACTTACAGAATAACTACTGAGTTGGGACATTTCTTTACCCCTTAACAGCACCTGATAATCCAACGTTTTTAAAATAAAAATGTGCCAAAGTGTCCCGGCGAGTCAGAAGGTCACTAAGAGAAAAACCCTGAAATACAACCCAGAGGTTAAGCAAGCTTTGTAGGCATCTGCTTGTCACTTAATTAAAGTCCTAAAAGGCTGAGTTTGACAAAAGTGCAGTTTATCGAACTAAGCTTCACTTATTAACAGAACCAGTTGCCATGGCACTGGTGTCGAGGTGCTTGGATAGGATGTTTATTTCAACCACATTAAGGTTGACTTTCTTTCACATGTTCAGATTCAACGTGTTCAGTAATTCTCGTTCAGATAAATCATTTCCCTCATATTTATGTATTCCTCTGTGTAAATATGGCCACTACGCTCCATCCTCGTCTGAATGTCGTGCCGTCAAATCGATCTGTAAAACAAGCTAAAAAGTTAGTCTGAAATACCATTTGTAGTTGTCTTTTAAATATAATATTAAAACATGTGTGCAGAAACACAAACACATTAAAACACTTCTTCTTCTTCTTCTTCGGTAACGGGAAACTCTTCGGCATCACAAAAGTGGCTTGACTGTAACCCTGTCTTGTGTTACCATAAGCGCCTCCCAGTGTAGTTAATGGGAGCTGTGGGCATCTGCAAGAGATGTGGGAATATTTAGGGACAGATTTAAAGGGATGTAGAGTGTTTGTGCCTGCCAATACTTACCGTGCCGCCGTTCATGACCAAAGCCATCTCAGTGGGTTGGTAGACATGGCCTCTGAAGGCGATGCCTGGGCGCATGCTGCCATGGCTGCTGTGGTACGTTCCACTTCGGACAGCTGCAAGAGCAGTCGATGCAAAACATGCACACCAAAAAATTACCAGTGTGGCAGAGTCTGCATGTTATGTTTTTAAACTCCCCTCAAACACACCATTATTATTTTTGAAGCGTCTCATGAAGCGTCATTCGGTCATTATTTACCGAATGACGCTTCATGAGAACTGTCATAAACATTCATAAAGACTTCTTTATGTTCATGACAGGTGTTATGTCGTGTTTATGACAGCTTCATGTCAGTCTTATACTCACCCCTTCAAATAAAGTGTTACCGCATCATTTAACTAGATAACCATTAGCATAGCTACAGTGGCTACTGTACGCTTTTTCCAATAAAAGATCATAACAAACAAACGAAAAAGAAAACATATTAGTCTTTGCTAATTTTATCGTTAAACTGGTCAAAATGATGAATCACGTGAACACAAAGATTTATGACCTGGGTTTGTCTGCATTTGTTCTTCAGAGCGGCCGCGTGAATCTGAGCTGTGTCACCCAAATGAACTTTCCAGACATTTTACATTTAAGCACATCAGAAAGAAAGCACAGTATCAACTTTTAAAACGACTGCCTGCTGGATGGCATGCAGCCTAAACAGCCATTATTTCAGCCCCTGTTTCTGACTCACTGTGCCGCGTTAAGAATAACTGTGCGTGAGGATGGCTTCATGAGAAATTCTGCAGAACCGAAATGCTGCAGAGGAGAGAAGAGACGGCGGAGAGGAAACAAACAGATGGTTGCTGCTGAATCCGTTTTGCAGTGGATAATTTGGAGCCTCTCTAAAGTCTTGTATGTTTCTCTGCAATATCAATTCACTCTCTGTCTGGAACGGCTGCTCTCTGGCAAAACCCACAGACACAGCGGTCTCCAAGGCAACGTTGATATTTTATGTCATTACTGTAACAAAAGAAAAGCGCTTTTCAGCGGAGTTGGAGCAGCACCATAAAACATACCTGGCTTGAGTTTGGGATCTGTTTTCACAAAGATAGAAACGAAAATTATGTACAATTTGTACAGATATAACTGTGTTATATCTGTACAAAGATACAGATATAACATCTTTGTTATATCTGTATCAAAAGATGCAGATATCTTTTGATATCTGTATGATATCAAAAGATATCATACAGATATGATACTGTATGATATCATACATATCTTTTATGTATGATATCTTTTATTTTATTTTAAGAAGCTTAATCAATAATGAAAGGAAGTAAAACTCCAGTTTTACATATCTTATTTTTTAAGGAGATTTCAAACTTTGGAACAACTTAAAACAAAAGGATTCTGCTGACAGTAAAACATTTCTTTGTTTTAAAACATGGTGCATCACCTTTTAACTGTACCAGGCACTTAGTTGTACCTTGTCCCTGATTCGTTAATATCGACCGTGCCGTAAACACCGTATACCAGCAGCTTCCTGCATCTCAACATTTTTTCACAGTCTACGTTATTTCTCATCAAAGATCAACTCCTGATGTGTGCAGCGGGGTTCAGAAAAATGTAGCGATTAGTTGAAGAGGAATGACTCACAGATTTCCATCTTGTGAAGGCTGGTGGATATTCAGACATTTCATGAGATGTAATTGGGTTTTTTGTTTTGTGCAGCAGGTACTTATCCTTGCAGCCCCAACCATACCCCCTTCCCCAATGACCCTGGCAAAATAAGCAGTTGCACAAGATGGGCGGATTGATTTACACAAAGCCATGACAAAGGAGATATTCAAACCTTGATGTGACTCAGATTGAAATTTGCTTTTTTTTGCACCCTTATTTAAAACTTGAATGCCGTCTAAATCATGTAAATGCACCAGATTGGGAGACAATCCATTTATTTATCCCACGTTACCTGTATTCACACATTTACAATTTATATATTATAAGAATGCATGAAGGAGACTTTCACATCAATTTATAACTTTGCTCGTAGATGTTTAGTAAAATAAGTGATTGTCATGATGTGTGTTGATGGTGGACCCAAATGCAGTAAGGCAGAGACGTAAAGTGATAAATATTTAATGAAAAAAAATGATGATAAAAAAAAACTTATAGGCAGCCAGGGTAGAACATAAAACACAGGAACTAGGAACAAAAACAAAAAACCCACTAAGGAGAACACAGGGAGCCAGGGTAGAACAAAAAACTGAGAAGTCAGGAACAAAAAAAAAAACCTCAGCAAGATGAACAGGGAAGCAACGGGTCATAATGGGAGGAATCAGAGCAGGAGATGTGTTTAAATACTGTGAGGCTGAATGCTGGAGCAATATGCCATAAAACAGACACACGGCTGCTGTAATTAAAGAAAGAGGCTAAGGAGCACAGAATTATAATAATAATAATAATAAAACTAGAATCAATAAATCAACATAGGGCCTGACAGTGATGCCAGTTTGTTTCACAATCCAATCCAAGCTGATCCAAAGTAAGCTCCTTCAGAGATTCCCAATTGATTTTTGATAAATGTCTGAAGGTGGCTTTATAGGCATAGTTTCATTATTTGTCATTAGTGAAGCTATACTTTACATAATTTGGTTTGGAAAGAAAACTAAATCTCTGCCAAATGTGAAACTTCAAAAAACATTGTGGCTTTGGTCATGCTTTTCACCTGAAAGAGTTGTGAACTTACTGAAGTTGTGCCTTTCAAGATTTTACCCAATTGTTGAACTGACACATAAAAATAGCATTTTCTGTCCACTAGGTGGCACAGCAGTAAGATTATTGCATTATTGATGGCTAATGATTTATAATGACTTGCAAAGTTAAGACATAGGAGGAGTCCCTACTTTTCTTTGGCTTCCAGCTTTATTGATTTTCTTGAATTTAAGATAAAAACAAGGCACACCTATGATCTAAACTTTATGAAATTAGATAAGTTATATCGACTTCACAAATATACTTTTATGAAACAGCCTGTTTATTATTGTATTGAGCACGAGCGCCAGAGCTGACGTTTCACACGCATGAACCTTTTTCCACCTCAGACGTGTGAAACTTCAGTCCTCAGGCGATTTAACTTTTGTGATCGAACACACCTGAATTAAATCAACAAATTTCTTACTCATAAAACGCCCCCTCTTAGCTGTAGATATAGTTTATAAAGCAGTTTGTGATAGCATCTTTATCTTTGTGTTTTTAATTACATTAATGATTAGCATTTAAAACTTAGAGTGATTACTAATAAAAATAAATGTTTGACTAAAGTAGGCTCCTGCTGTTTTTTCTTTTTTTTTAAAATCCAGAATTGAAATGTAATCAGGCAGAATTGATGTTAAATACATGCTAATGTGACAAATACACAAGAATCTCCCTGCTTCTTTGAATTTATGATAGAAACGGTTAAATGGAAATAGAAAGACATTTTTTCAGGCGTATGTTTTAGGTTCATTAATACATTAATATAGTTTAATGAAGATTGCTGCTGCGCTTTTTGAACACAAACTTGAAAATAAGCAAAGACATATGTTGTTTTCCTACTTAATTCGATATTCTCCATTAACAGCTGGTAGATTAAATTGCTGCTCCATGTATTTATTGCTAGCGGGAACCACGCTGTTGGAAATGCTACTTGGTGTTAACATCTTCCTCCCTGTGAGGATGAGTGTTATTTTTAGAGGTCCATTGTGTTGTTTTGCATTTGTTGTGTGAGGTCTATTTTTAGCCACTTTGGACCAATAATTGTTAGAGGTGTTGAACAGGATATAGTTAATTTTATGCACTTAGCTTCTAACGTATGGTTTTCACATTCTGCATGGAAAACTGTTGACCCCATCCAATTGTCAAATCTACGTATGCTGCAGGTTTGATCACATAATTGTCTGAAAATGTCAAACCTTTTCAAAATTACTTACTCTTGCTATTTTATAGAGAAACTGCACTGGGTGACAGTTTTCACTGTGTTCACTTTTCTGTCGATTGCCTAGACTCAGTGGTTTCACAGTTTGCTGTAAAACGTCTTTCAGATATTTTTTTTTATTAATTAAATGCACTAATTGTCTGAATGAGCTCTGTAGAAATCTGTTCATGATTCACACGATTACACAAGTGACAACAGGTAAACGTCTAAAACGCGCTGGAAATTCCCTGGGGAGCATGACCATCAGCCACTGACACAACAAACAGAACCACAAGCACACGTCGGGCTTACTTGCACTGTGCTCCTCCATTGAGAAGGCCTGGTTTTCTTGAAAAGACTGGTGAGAATGTGCGGGGTGATCGTCTCCGAAATGAGGAGCCGGCGACGCGCGGCCGGTGTCGAAGAAATCTTGCGTGTCGGATTGCGTTAGATTTTGGAGACACAGGTAGGACTCTGGGATGGCGTGGAACAGCAGCAGGATCCAGCCCTGGATCACCAAGGCCACAGCCAGCGCAGGCTCATCCAACACTTTTGCATCCTTGTTTCCTCCTCTTTCCCTGCTCCCTCTCCCTCTCAACGCCTGGTTGCCGTAAAGGTAAAACCCCAGCCAGGCCACCCAAAGCAATGCGGACGCCAAACTGGACAGGAAGACCCAGACGGCATTGCACTTCCATCGTCGCTTCTCAGTCTCTCCTTCTCTATCTTCTTCTCTGCCGTCTCCTCCGTCTTCTCCGAACTCTCCTCCGCAGAGCACCACTCCAAGGGAGAGACCCATGGCTATGAGGAGCAGGCCCAGAGTGTAGCTGCACATCAGAGCAAAGTCTAAGGGAGGATATTCGCATGCTGGGTGACCCTCTCTCACGACAGTCAACAGAACCCATTCAGCAGAGATTATCCCCTGAACCAAAGCCAACGCCAGTCCAAGCGCTGCCAGTGTGCTCCCAGTGGGGCTCGACTTTCCAGCCACCAGCCGCCTGAGTCTCACACCTTGAACTAGCAAGCAGGAGAAGCAGAGGGCAAAGAGGGGTCCCCAAAAGGCCCTGCGCACCACGCAGAGCACCTGGGTCTTCCCCACCAAGAAAGCCAGAGAGATGGTGAAGATCCCGAGGAGGGTCCCCAGGAGCAGGAGCAGAGGGCCGAGACCGGAGCGCCTGGCCGGGTCGGAAACCCCTCGCAGCTTGACGATGAGAAACACCGCAAGAACCAAAGAGGTGAGGCCGCCGCTGCAGGCCACAGCCTCAAGGACGACGCCCCAGACCGCCTCTAGGTCGCACAGCACTCTGTAGGGGGCTTCCACGCCCACGCTGCATCCTCGGGGAGGTGGGGGTGTGGGCTGAGACGAGCTGCAACTGATCAAAGTCAGGAGGCAGATGACAAAAGGGTTGATGGCCATCTTGGCGACAAACAAGGAAAACAGGGCAAAGAGAGACACAGTTAGAGTTAGATAAGCAACAAGTCATTTCATCCATTCATTTCTACGTCACGTGGCGTTACACGAGCACATCAGCTGCTCTCGCATCTTCATTCTGAGAAAAATGGTGAAAACAGCAATTTCTGCTTTTATTCCACAAGCCTCTTGTGTGATGCTGTTCAAACACACACACATACACACACACACACACACACACACACACACACACACTGCACAGAATAGCACAGGTTTTAGCACTGGGCAATAGTTTCCATGGAAATGGGAAACAGCGTGGGCTGGTTACATTGCATACTGGGCTTTTCAGGAGTCGAGTTCAGTACCTAAAAGCACAGAACAACACAACACTCTGCACGCACACACACACATACACAATAATTATTCACACTTGGATTGATTTAATGAATATAATGCATTCTCCAGCCCTTACCACAGCATTAACATGCACCTTTAAATTAACTGCTACCTTGATACAGAAAGCTTGTACCAAAAAACTAAAAAAACCTGTAAATCAGTGCTTTCTTATGGTTTCAAATGTAAATTGTTGCGTAAAATGAAAATGACCACATTTCATACAAAGAAGTAAAGCTCACCTCAGATGAATTCTTGACTTGAATTCTGGGTCACTCACAGAGCAGATATATCATCATTTCCCGCACATCATTATTTGACATGACTTAAGTCTCTCTTGAGTGTTTTCAGATTCTCACTTAATGAAGTCCTCGAGGCAGCAGAAACGAAACGGTTTCCATTTTGTTGCTGCCTTTCCTTTCAGCTCTGACTGCTTAAAAGTACGACAGCACACTTTGAAAGACCTCCGGCGTCTTGCTGATGTAGTGACTTGTCCAGCTGCTCCGAGAAGAAGAAGAGGAAGAAGAAGAAGAAGAAGAAGCCACAATTATGATGCATGCCTCGAGACTTCACACACCCACACGGTCAAATATATCTTCAGCCTCTTTCGCTCCTTTCTCTCTCACTCCCTCTGTCCTCATCTTTCTGTTCGTGCAGTCTGCATGTCTGAGTTGCTTTCTCTCTCTCTCTCTCTCTCCCAGCTTCACGCTGAATCTGCGGAGGTGTCAACAGAGCAAGAGAGAGAGATGCAGTCCCAGCTTACCTCTGCTCGCCCACACACACACACACAGGGCAGTGTGATTAGCTGTTGCACCTGTCTCACCAGAAAGAAAAGAGGAAATAAGCTCAGTACATAAGCATGGCAGTTCACAGCCTGTCCGGCATTAATCACTTCGTTTGCACATCTTGGTGTTATTTCATCTTGGTGTTATTTCCCACCTTCGTGCTCCTACTTCTTCTGCTTCTCAGTCCCTTCTAAACTGGGGGGGGGATTTTTGCTGACAAACGATGAATTGCCGTGTTATTAAGAACTGCTCTGAAATGGAGATGAAGACGGGAGGCACGCTGCAGAAAACGGGCATCTCGCTTGAGAAAGAGCAGATGGTCGCTCTAAACACAGGTGAGCCTTTGGCCATGTGACCATCCCAGTAGAGAGCGTTGCATAATGCCCTGGAAGACATGATTCAATTAAGTCTGTTAAGAGAGGAGTAATCTCCAACCGTCTACATGCGGGGATAAAGAAGGACACAGGGAATGTCATGACAAGGTGCCGTCCAGGAAGGGATTGGTGTGCGAGACGTTTTTGCGCTGTTTCGTTGAGCCAGAAATCCAAAATCTGTCAATTTTAATAATTTTTTAACTCCTGCAAGTAGGGTGTGACAATACCTAAACCTCTTGATATGGGAAGAGACGCGATATTGAGTTCACAAGAACGAGATGGGTCAAAAGGGCAGGTGGTTCAGACAGAGGCCAGTTTCTATGAAGAAGCGCTGTATTTACTCGTGGAAAGTTTGGGAGCTGTAGTTTTACAGTGCAACTCTCCGTCCTGTTAAATAAAACTTTGTACTGTGCAAGGAAGCCTTCACGAATGAGCACAAATACAAAATTTTTTTAAGATTTATTTTTAATTATTTTAGGATTTTGTTTAATTTCACATGGAATGAGATTCATTTAAGTTTTTGAACAATTGTGAAATGTGCTATTTACAGTCAAAGAAATCTACTTTTGAAAACAAAACCACGTGCTCACCCAAATCAAAGCATAAAACATTATAAATCACATTATAAATTTAAATGAGTATATTTGGTCTAAAAAAAAATTCAAAACTACATCTTCTTGAAAATTCGAATATGATTTAATCATGATTATTTACTATTTACATACATGGTCTCTAGAGTAATAATTACAAAGTAAATGTTCACAGAATCATACGATATAAACTAACAATGAATCATTTTCAAAAGATTTAAGCATATTACATTTTTATTAAAAACATACATTCCTGCAAATCTTTTCAAGAAATTAGCTTTTAAATATCTTTTGATATGTTTAACACATTGGCTAATGTACAATTATAAAATTATTTGTTTGTATATGCAAAAGTAAATAAAAAAAACCTTCTTTCACTGTTTCAATAAAATATCAATATTTCAACAAAAGCAGTCTATTAAAGAGACATTCAATAACACGATGAGCAAAGCTTTGTTTTCACATCTAAATCTGCTGTATGTAATGTAACTTTCATTAAGAAGATATGTTTTTTTTTTTTTTTTTTTACAAATTTGCTAAAAGTGTCACTATGTTATGATAGAGTATAGCCTCCTTCCCGTGGTCCCACTGTCATTCAGAAATACACTGTCTGTCAGAAAAAAAACAATCAGAGCTAGAAGGACGGTGTTGGTGCTGTCAATCACGCCTCTGTTTGCACTGCTCACAGCCTCCCTCTTACTCTCTGCTACACTACAATTTCTCCCCTCCATCAGAGCCTGCCATCAATGCTCAGGCTAGTTAGCAAAGCCACAGATGTTGACAGATAATTAGTTTTCCTGCAAATGTAAGTTGTTTCTCGCTTGTTAGCAAGGATTACACCATGCATCCTGTACACAAGGATGATTGCCGGTTCTACAACCCTCCTTCTGGCTCTGATTGGTATATTTCTGGAGGTGACAATGCCCCATGGCATATTAAACTGTCACAAGATAGTGAGAGTCTTTAAAGTGTCAAATACATTTTGCTAAGTTTCCGACTGCAGCCTTTATTGTCAGAAAAAACACACAATTTCTCCTGATCTTAAGTTAAATGATCATATCCAGTTATAAAAATAACCCTTTAGCAATAAAAATAATTCAGAGTAAAGCAGTACATGTTCATAATACGTTTTAACAGCTTGATAAAAGACATCAGGAAAATTTAATAAGTGTATTTACAGTCCATCTTAATGGATGTCCAGCATGCGGGTCAGGTATTGATGGATTTCACCTGCGTTTGTAGAGGTGCAGGACGTTGTTACACTGTGGGCAGGAATGCTGCACATCCTTGCAAGAATTCACGCAGAAGGGGATACAGCTGCACGGCCAGCAGCTGATGTGAAGCATAGGATAAAAAGATGCAGAATAATAATTGATCATGAGCACAATAGTATTTTGGTCATTAAATATTTGGTTCACCATGAGTTGTGAACCAAATATATAAAAAAAGAAGAAGTAAAATTCATACTTGAGCTTGAAGAGTTATTCATTATATTTTCTAAACTAAGAGTTGATGCTGTACCAGGGCTTTATACTTAAACGCCCACATTTGTTCAGAATTCTCTGCAAATCCGCGTTTATGTGCAATGGCATAAAAGTGCCTCTTGGGGGCAGTAGAATCATATGGGGATTTTTTTTTATCTGTCACTCCTGAATTCTCTGGTGACGTCGTTTGACGCTGCAGCTTTTTGTTAAGAACATTTACTGACCGACAACCACACCCAATCAGTTGTGCTTGCAATCTAAGGACTACACTTCAAACGAATCTTAAACACAGTCTGCATAATTTACATGAATATAAAAATAAACGACCTGTCCAGGTTGTAGCCCTGTTATGCCAGTTGTGATAATGGATGGTTGGATAAAAATAAACAGTTTTGACTCGAGCATGAATTACCCAGAAAAACTTTAAATTTTTGATATTTTCTACAAAGTGCCATCCAGTTTGCTCTTGGACGTTCTTTACATCTGTGGTTAATCAATGATAAAATGAAAAACATGAACTGTGGGAGGAAGCAGAGCAACCAATCAATCAGCAGGAACCTAAAGCAGAATAGACTGAAGTAACTTCACTTTGTGGCAAAAAAAAGTTTTTAAAGGTGGTGGTGCTCAATATTTTAAAGTTTATTAATTACAATATTGTTATTATCCACATTGTATCCAAGTTTATTTCAAGTTTTACAACTTTTATGTTTAATGACACCTCAAACAGGCCCAGAATCATTCATTTTCTTGGACCATCATTAGTTTATAAAGAACCCACCACCCAACATTCTGTGTATTTCTGTGTGGTAGTTTATACTCACAATAACAACAGCACTCCAAAAATGATCCAGGTTAGCATGCCCACTTTGTATTCAATTGAGGTCACAACAGTGTTCTTGCAATGCGGACAAAGCATACTTCCAGCAACGTCAGTGGGCATGTGTTGCACCAACAACACCTGGTTACCTGTCAAGCACACTTTGTTAAAACACACAGTCGAGATATATACACACACACACACACATATA